AGATATATATGAATATATATTAATATATGTACAAGTATATTATATATATATGAATATATAAAGATGTGTATGAATATATGTTTGCATAAAAAAAGATAGTAATTAAGTAATTTGTCAGTTTTTTTATATAATTACTTCTTATCTATTACTTTCATATTAAGCTTTTTCATCTTTATTTTTCTCTGGTATTGTAACTTTTGATATGAGAAAATAAACCATTTGGACACCTCTTTTTAATCTGCCAAATATTCACAAACACTAACAATAAAGATTCCCTTTTTTCAGGTATTAAATGGCATTCAGTTGCTGAATTTCCAGTATGGAGTTGTTTGTGATGGCCTAAAGCAGTTTCCGAACCGTCCTGAAGCACAGCCCTTTGACCAGTGGATGGAGAATCCGCACGTGCTCCATCTGTTGGCCTATTGCATTAAGAAAGATGCTCCTCACCTGAGACTTTCTCCAGAGAGATGATAGCTGTTATAGTATTAGACTGAGGTTGATTGCTGGAAATCTGAATAAGAAATAACACATGACTGTTATATCAGTCTTGTCATATATAGTTGATGATAATAGTAGTGTTATTCTAGTACTGAGGGGGTTTTAAGGTAGGTGATTATATTATAATGATGATAATTATTGTTTTTATTATTGTTATTATTATTGTTATTATTATTATTATTATTATTATTATTATTTTTTTTTTTTATTATTATTATTAATATTATTATTATTATTGTTATTATTGTTATTAATATTACTGCTATGCTTACTATCATTGTTCATTTTATTATTCTTGTTTTTTCTTTGTTGTTGGAACATGATTTAGCAACCCAGCTTACTAAGGAAGAATGCCACCCATTTTTTTCTTTGTCTTTCTTTTTCAGAAGAGTAATTATTATAGGATATTTTTTATTGATATTGGAAATTAGAGGAAGGCTATATTGCCTCTTATATTAAGAAGGATACTCCCCACATGCAGATTTCCACAAAGACGTGATAAAGACTGGGGGATTAGTCTAATGTTAGGTGCTACTAATCTAAGCCATGTTTAATATAAGTAGCTCATTCCAGTGTTGCAGTCTCAAGATTTATAGTGACCCCTGAGTTATTAATAGTGTGTTGGGAAAAACATAGCAATGCATTTGATTTTGAAGATGGTCTGCTGCAAATTTTATGGCATGTACCGAGGTACCGAGTATATAATAAATATTTAATTTATTATTATGTACAGTTAATACTTTTATTTGACCTTTTAACAGTCTTTTTATTTACAATTTATATATGGTAAAGCTATTCTGTATTATGAAACAGCTCTATATTCACTCACCCATACTGTCCAAGTCATAGAAAGGGACTCTTATATGCATAATAATATTAATGCAAAATTTCTGATGTAAGAGTCTGTCCATGGGGCTTAGGCAACTTTTTGCACAAGGTCACATTATATTACATGTTTATAAATCTGTAATTTATTTTTATCATTTACTAAAATTCTTTTTAAGAAAAAAAGGAAAGTGTGTAGCAATAAAGATATTGTATATGAATGTCAAAAATACCAAACGTATGTAAGCAAAGTATAGAAGTCAGATGAATAGATGACAAAAAAGAAACAGAAATTGAGTTCTCCAGAGCCTTGGGTGAGTTGCCAGTTTGATTCTCTCACTCACTCTCTCTCTCTCTCTCTCTCTCTCTCTCTCTCTCTCTCTCTCTCTCTCTCTCTCTCTCTCTCTCTCTCTCCTCTCTCTCTCTCTCTCTCTCTCTCTCTCTCTCTCTCTCTTCCTTTCTCTTTCTCTTCCTTTCTCTTTCTCTCTTTTTTCTCCTCCCTCCTCTCTCTCTCTCTTTCATTATTTCTATTTCTCTCTTTTTTCCTCTTCTCTCTCTTTCCTTCTTTTTCTCTCCTCCTCTCTCTCTCTCTGCGTGTGTATGTGTGTGTGTGTGTGGGCGGTGACATCCTTTTTTGCAGAGCTCTGATTGTTTTTATTAGTTGTAGTATTTTAAAGAACTTGAATTATATGTACTTTGTGGTGTGGAAGGATCATGCATGTTGTTTTATTTTGAATCACTTCGTTATCCTTCTTCCATGAATTGAGGAGTAGGAATTATTTATGTGCTGACATATACAGACAACAAGCAAACACAAAATGCAGAGATACATATTATGAAAATGGTAGGGTAAAATATGATTACTTAGTATAAAAATAGTTCTCAAGTATAGAACAGCCAAATGCAAAGAGGTAAATAAAAAAAGACACATACAAAAAAATTAAATAGTTTTCTTACCTAGTATTAACAAAATGTTTTGTATAAACAACTGGCACCATCTGACAACTGGAACATTCCATCTATACAACACATCAGGAATGTTGAATAAATTGTACATACACAGCAACAATGTCATTCCATACAATGGCAGATATTCCAGATTTATATCAAGGCCGCCAACCAAGAACTTACATCTAAATAAAAAACATTTTAGGAAATTTCTCTCTTACGGCTTTCT